CTCTCACATCTAGATTCACAAATGCTTCTGTAGTCAAAGTCAGTGACTCCACATCACCAATCCCAAGATCAAGTTTCTTTCTTCGTCACAACTATGAGATCAAACTGGCAAGCAAAATGCATTTATAGACATAGCAATGGCATGATTGTTATAGGTGTACACCAAATACTCTCCTTTGGATCTGAAGCCTACTGTATAAGAAGAAAGTCATGTCTGGTGATGCAAACATGAGATCAGAGAGACTTCTCTTTGCAGGGAAGGGTGGTGTATGTGGAGACTTGATCAGTGCTCAAGTGCTTAGAATTAATGATGATTGAATGTTCATACCTAAAGAGCACATTTATACCACTCCCTTCTAAGGCTCCAGGCACATAACCGAAGAGAGGAATGCAAAGCATGTAAGGGTCAAAAGATGAAGAGAAGGGTTGAAATGCTATCTTCAGGGTGTACACACAACAATTATAAACACATCTTACAGCAACTGTGATTGCCTGCACTGGTGTGAACATGACCAGGCCTGTCAATAGCGAACCATGCATACAAGGAAAGGGTGAGGCAAAACCAAATGCAAGGGTCTGGAGAAGCTGGAGGGCAGTGGCTGTGGTGTAAAATGCACAGGATGAGAAAGTACTCACTACTACCCAGGAAATGGCAGTGACTCACCCCACACCATCCTAGATTGCCTTGTAACCAGATCCGCAGCCACCATCGCCACAGAAGGATGGGGTGTGACCTGCATTCGTCTCTCCAGAACGAAATGTGTGACTAGAAACAAGGATGCTATTCCCAGGGTGTAAAAGACCAGATGAGCCCCATTTGTCTGAGCTTGTTTAAGGACCCTCCTAATGAAACAAGAAGCAGGAGACAAGGAGAACATGACAAGCCTGTGACATACAGCTAGCAAGAAGCTGATCTGAAGAGTCTAGGCATTAGCAAAGGGCAGCTGCAGGCTCACCTACAGCCTTCGCCATGTTTGTAGGGTCTGTGTGTAACCACACACCGGCTACAGCTGCCCTTCTCGCTAACATGGCAGAACTCAGAAAGAGGACCCAGCTGGATCTTGTCAGGAGTTTGCTGACCCTTAGCCCAGGACATTTTTTTCACTGCTCGTAGTTTTAAAGCCCAAAAATAATAATTCCACTTGCCTTATACTTATTGGTATTTTATACCAGAATTGTCGGGGATAAATTTCTTTGCCTTAATTAAAAGACAGTAGAATAATAAAGTAAAGGGATTAAAAAATAAAATTTATCCACTCAACCTGTGAATCCATTTCCACACAAAAAAAAATTCCAGAAAAACAGATGCAGAATGTCCACAAGCACTGAGCATATGGTGACTCTAAAAATCAAAAATGTAAAATGAGAATGCTTTTCAGGCAGCCTTGTTTTAAAGTCTATTTAGAAAATATCTTGTGTATATATATATGTATATATATATGTATATATATATCATATATAATAACAGTTGCCATAGAGTGAGTGCACATGATGAGCCAAGAGCAGCAATTTTGCACATACTTTGGCATTTCGCAGAGGAAGAAACTGAGTCTGATGAAGGTGTAATGCTATAGTTCTACACACCCAGCTGGAGCTTGATCCCTGTTGTGAAGCATTAAACAGTGGAAACACCCTGTGCTGTGAAGAGGTGGGCCTTTGGCGAGTTGGTTAAGATTTAACACGGTTTTTCGAGTTTAACTCCTATGATTGAATCCTTGTGGCTTTATGAAAACTGGAAGAAAGAGAGAGATGTGATGGCTTAAATGAGAGTAGCCCGCAGAGGCTCCTGCATTTGAACGCTGGGACCTCAGTTAGTGGAACTGTTTGGTAAGTATTAAGTGATGGGAAACTGTTAGAGGAAATGGATCAGTGGTCATGGACTTTGAGGTTTCTAAAGCCTACAGGATCCCCAGTCTCCCCTTTCCCCACCCCTACCCTTCTTTATTCTTGTGGATCAAATATAAGCTCTCAGCTATAGCTCCAATGCCACGGCTGCCATGATCCCCACCATCATAATCATGGAACCTAACCCTCTGGAACTGTAAGTTCCCAAGAAACTTTCTTCTTCTACAAGTTGTCCTGGTAAGAGTGTCTTATCACAGCAATAGAAAAGCAACAGGCCAGAACAGAATGCATGTGCATGCACACACACACACACACACACACACACACACATACACATGCACACACACACACACACACACACACACACACACACACACACATACACTCCCTGCCTCTGGCTACCTGGTGCCAAGCACTACCTGGGACTCCGTCAACAAGAAGGTAGTTACCAGATGAAGTCCCTTAACTGTGACCTGCAGAATTCAGTAACTGGCTTGTAACATGTCCTCTTTCTCACTAGCTGACTGAGACCCCAAATAACACATAAGACACTATATTAATTATAAAGCTGCGGGTCATTTGCTATGGCTTCTTATTGGCTAGCTCTGATTTAATTATTTACCCATAACTGCTAATCTGAGTATTTCCAAGTGGTCTTCTCTTACCGGAGAAAGGGACCAGGCCTCTTACTCCTCTCAAGTTCTACATGGTGACTGACTGTGCCTCCGTTTCGTAGAATCCTCCACCTCTCCTAGTCCCACCTATCTTGCTTCCCTATTTGCCAGCAGTGCATTATTCATCAGCCAATAAGAAAAACATATACACAGAAGACCATCCTCCATCACTTGCTCTTCTTAACAATCTGCCTAGTCTGTGGAGCTATGTGATTAGTAAAAGAAAACAGACTAATACAGATTATTTTTGCACAGATAGTTAGGACAAGGAAGGATTCCCCCCTTTAACTTTAGGGCTGTGTGGTACTTGACAGTGGATACACCTCCCCCACCACAGTGTGGAATGAGGACTTGATACTGGAAGATGGAGAATCATGAAGGGTGAGAGAAGCTGATCCTTGATTGAGCATCAGTCCTCTGTAGGCACCAGAGATGAAGCCTCATGCAAGCCACCCCAGGAAATAGACCTTTCCCCCAAGACTCCTCTCATTCGTGGAAATTTTCTCCTTGTCCCAGTGTTTTTGATCCAGATAGTCCAGGTTAACATCACACAATTGTTGACTCACAAGGGTCCTAGATAATGAGGTGAAGTGTAAGATTGGAAACCTATCCTTACATCTTCTACAATAACACTGACAATCCTTGAGTTGCTTTGTTTGGAACATGTCTAACAATATCATTAATATCAGAGATGAACTGTGTCCACTTGAATAAGGACAGGATTAAAACTGATATACAGGGAGAGAGTGTTATGCCCTGAGGTCATCTGATAATGCAGCCAAGATGCTGAACAGGACCCCTTTGACCTCTATTTCCAAGCTTTGACCTTGAGGTGCCATGGTCAAATATGTTGGAATGTACAGAGCATGTCAAGAACTTTTTCACCCCATTTACTTGTCAGTATCCTGGGAAACAGACAGTAAACATGAAGTCAACAGACAAGAAAATAAACCCTAAGCAATTAATTATTATAAGAAGCTCTGTGTATGTCCAAAGAATGAGAAATAACAAGGGCAGGGCAGGGTGGATAAACATGGCTTTATGTGGATTATATTTTTCCAAATTTCCTCTCCATGCAATGTCCAAGTGCAAACTAATGCTTAAAAAGCAGAGCTGTTTCACAAAGTCAAAATGCTGAAGGTATATCACAGGGCTGCCAGGGAATTCTGCTGACCAAGCTGGTACCTGGAAAACTTCCTTCTTGATCCAGAGTGGGTGTGGGTGTGATGTGAGTTAGGGCAAAGGCTGCACCCATGAAGCATGGGTGACATTGGAAACGCCATTTCACAGTCTTCCTTTGGCACATGAAGCATGGGTGACATTGGAAACACCATTTCAGTCTTCCTTTGGCACATGAAGCATGGGTGACATTGGAAACACCATTTCAGTCTTCCTTTGGCACATGAAGCATGGGTGACATTGGAAACACCATTTCAGTCTTCCTTTGGCATTGCAGCGCCTCACGCCTGCATTCTTGCTCTGCTGTCTTCCTCGGTAATGACATGCAAACAAGGAAACTTTTTCCCCTCCCCCAATCTATAGTCTGCAGAGAAAGCTGTGTTCCTAGTAGGGAAATTTATCCCAAAGGTCAATGGAAATTGTGAATAAGTTCTGGCAGAAAGCTGTGTTACCCTTACTTTCTGAAAAGGAAAAGTCATTGTGGTACTTTGACGGGCATTAGAAGCGTGGGAACACGTATCTCCTTGCCTCAGTTCACAGAAGGCTTCCCTGGGGGATCTGTTTGTCTTTGAGTAACATTATAGTCCTATCAAGCATGTGAAGTGAAGTAGACCATCAAAGGGTTTATAAGTTGTATCAAACCGAAAGGCTAGAATACTACCAGTCTATGCCTGTATTTTGTAAAAACAGACCTTTACACTTTGGTAATAATTTGCCATTCAGATTCTCTCTTTGGTTTACCACTGAAATGCGTTGGGTTCTTTCTCTTGAACATGTTTGTTGAACATATCACAGATCCTGAATATTGCTCTGGATACTGAGAAGAAGAGAGGCAGATCTGCAGGAGTCTTTGAACCAAGTGTGTGGTGGGATGGGTTCTGCAGGTACAGTTCACCTCCTGGCTAGCCACACTCTTTGGGGAAAGCCCATCCTGGACACAGAGAGGACTTCTCAGGATTTCCCACAGTCCCAAAGTGAAATCCTGAATAGGATTGGGGTGCCCATGGGGCACCATGGGGAATGAAGGTGAAGGCTCAAGTGGAAGACAGACTGTGCCAATCATCCTGGCAGGGATGCCATGGCCACTAATCCAGAGGCTCGACAGCACACATGTATTGTTCACGGCTGTGAATGGGGAAGTTCAAATTCAAAGTGTAGGCTGACTGAGGCCCCAATGAGGGTTCATGTTCTCTTTCCCATTGCCACCTCTCTATGGCCAAAACTCTGACACCTGCATCTCTTCTTTCAGAGACACTGATCCCACCCTCAGGACCTTTATCCTCACAACCCCCCCCCCCGCATTTGGGTCCGAGAGTCAGTGCAGAGCTTTCGGGGCAGGGTATAATCGAGTGTGAAAGGCCAGGGAGGCCAGCTGACACCGAGAAGACTGAAACTCCTGCTGCCCAGAGATGAAGGGAGCAGATCCTGATTCTTACACAACAGCCACATCTGACTCCAACACCACCAGGCAACACTGAGTTCCTACCTCCTCTCCCAGCCCATCCTTGGAACCCTGGGACCAAGTAAGGCAGTCTTCCTGCACACCGCACAATGTAAGTCTGACTCTCCAAGGTTTCAGTTCTTCGGGCTGTGATTCACTTGGGATGGATGTACACCTGGATCCCCATATCTGCCTCTGATACTAAAGTCTTACCATAGTCATGCTAAATTCTGTGCTATGGATTCAGCATGGGAGAGGAGGAAGGAAGACAAAATGTGCTCTCGGGAACAGCTGGCTCCTCTCATTTCTTCCCTGCCCTTCTTGAAGATCAGAACAGCTGGACACATTTGCTCATGCAACTCCTGAGAAAGTGCTTTGAAATTTGGCATGTCATGGTCTTGGAGGGGAAGAAGGTATCTGAAATGAAAGTATTTGAAGTTGAGACAAAGTGAATAAATGGTCTTATTTTATAAAATCAGGAACAACTGGTCTTCTCAGTCCCAATCTTAAAGAACACTGCTCAAACAGGTCCTAGAATTGTCTTTCCGTCCTTATATAGTCCAGCCCTAGCCTTTATCCCCCCTACAACTAAACCAATTAATCTGAACTTTGTGTTGAAAGACCATGTATGAGTATGCACAACTGGTTTCGCTCTTTCAGACACAGAAAATAAAGGAAACACTGTGTGTGCACCTTGTGTGGATGCTACAGCTGTCTCCAGAAGAGCCAGAACATAGACTTGGGGGCTCAAAGGCATTGTCTATGCACCATGCAATGCAGAGGGTACTCCAAATCCAGTTCCAGATGGCAAGCCAAACAAGTAGCTGTGCTCAGTGTTCTACTTATTTTCCAGATAGGAGGGAAACATTCTTCTGTGCCTTTCTAATAAGACTGCAGGCTCTGAAGGACATCACACACCTGCCAAGATCCTCATCTGACTAAAAGGAAACCACAGATTGAGAGTAAAGTCAAAGGCAGCATATCTGTGGTTATCCAGAGAGATAGAGCAGTTCTGATTCTAGTCAAGTCTCCAGGTAAGTTCAGTAGAAGTACTCAAGCCATTGTTATGATCCATTCACTAACCCATGTGTTCATCCATGCACTTAGAGTGCTTTAGTCAGTTGACAACTTCTCTGTGTGACCAGAACTGGTCCTTGCCCATGCAGCCTCTGATGCCAGCTTTCATTCATTCCAACCCTTTGCAGCTTCTCAGAAAACACTGGCCTCTTCCTTTAGCCTCAAGTTGCTTTGGGGCTCCACACAGAGAACACATTTCCCTTCCCTGAGAGATTATCTCTCAGGCATCTGCTCCCACCACAACCATCACTGCTCTCAATTCACTGATCCTATAGGTGACCCATTACTGACATTTCTAGATCATCCTCCACCCTGACACCGTCTACCACAAGGTGTCTGTCGCCAAGATGACATTCTGTCACTTTCATTTTCATCAGTTGAGATGAACATGGTTCCTTCCATCTACATTTATTAGAATGATGCCTTCTAATAAATTCCTACACTGGAATTCACCATCCTGGAATTCATTGGATAAATCCTACTTGGCTGTGATCTATTATCCTTTTAATAGCCAGTTCCTTCATTCTGCTAATATTTCCTGGAGGTATATTTGGGGATATTCTTGCAGTGTCTTTGGCTTGTTTATCTGTATAATGCTGAGCTCATGAGTTATGAAATGGTCAATCCTCTTCAACTTTTGAAAGAGTTCAGAGGGATAACTCACAGGTATCATCAGATAATCTATATGGCTCTATTTTCTATTTTATGGTCCTAGTTGAGGTATTCATCTCATTTATAATTTTATTTGGTTGTTTCGTTTTCTTAATATATCCTGCTCTATTTAGCTCTACTTATCATTTTCTCAGCTTCTTGCTTTAGCTTTAGACTTCTGCTCATGGTTAGTTACCTAGGATATATAGTTAGACTGTTGGCTTGATCTCTCACTTGTGTATTAATCTAGATATTCTGTGTATTAATTTCCCTGAACTCATGACTCATGGCTGTTGTGATGTATTTTCATTCATCTAAAGCATTTCTAATTTCTCCTTTGATATAGAGCTTACTTACTGTTTGTTTAGTTTCTACATATGTGTGGATTTTTCAATTATCCTTTTGCTATTGATTTCTAGTGCCTGTCCTTTACAGACAGATGATATTTTGTATGATTTCAACTTAGTGGTTTATATGGGCTAATGTAGACAAGCTCTTCCTGTAAGGTGCCGTGTGTGCACTTCAGATGAATAAGTACTCTGTTTTTCATGCTTACTAGAGTGCTGTCCATAGCTGATAATTCTGGTTTTCTATAGTGTTGTCCATGCCTTCTGTTACTGCCCTAACATTGGGTCTATCTGTTCCATCCATTGCTGAAACTGGAATGCTAAAGCCTCCAACTGTTAGAGAACTCTGATTTCTCACTCAGTTATGTCACTTTGTGCCTTATATTTTATGGTTCAGTTCTGGGTTCCTATATGTTTACTAATATTGCATCTCCTTGATGAATTTATTCTTTTATGACTTTCATTCTCATGTTTTATGGACAATTTTGTTTTAAAGTCCACCAACTGATGCTAGTAGAATTTATATAGCATGGAATACATTAACCTTATGCTTCAACATTTTTTGTGTTATATTTAAAATGGGTCTTTTGCAAACATGGTATGTGCTCACTTATATATGGATTTTAGACATGGAGCAAAGGATTACTAGCCTACAATCCCCACCTCCAGAGAAGCTACGAAACAAGGAGGACCCTAAGAGAGATATGCAGGGTCCCTGGAGAAGGGGAAAGGAACAAAATCTCCTGAGCAAATTGGGAGTGTGGTGGGAGAGGAGAGGGAGTTAGGAGATAGAGAAGGGGAGAAGAGGAGGGAGGAGGAGAACATGAGGGAACAGGAAGATAGAGTTGGGGGAAGAATAGAGGAGAACAAGAAAAGAGATACTTTAATAGAGAGAGCCATTATAGGTTTAAAGAGAAATCAAGTACTAGGGAAATGTCCAGAGATCTACAAGGATGACCCCAACTAAGAATCTAAGCAATAGTGAAGAGACTACCCTAGACGACTTTCCCTTATAATGAGATTGATGACTACCTTATATGCCATCCTAGAGCCTTCATCCAGTAGCTGATGGAAACAGAAGCAGATACCTACAGGTAAACACTGAGCTGAACTCCTGGAATCCAGTTGTAGAGAGGGAGGAGTGATGAGCAAAGGGGTCAAGACCAGGCTGAGGAAACCCACAGAAACAGCTGACCTGAACAAGGGGGAACTCATGGACCTCAGTCTGATAGTTGGGAAACTAGCATAGGACTGAACCAGAGCCCCTGAATATGGGTGTCAGTTAGGAGGCCTGGGATGTCTGTGGGGCCTCTGGTAGTAGAACAGTATTTATCCCTGTGTACGAATAGACTTTGGAAGCCCATTCCCCATAGAGGGATACTCTCTCAGCCTAGACACACCGAGGAGGGCCTAGGCCCTTCCCCAAATGATGTGACAGACTTTGATGATCCCCCATGGAAGGCCTCACCCCCCCTAGAGAGCAGAAATGGGATGGGATGGAGGTTGGTGGGGGCATGGGAGGATGGGAGGGAGTGGGAACTGGAATTGATATGTAAAATAAGATTGTTTCTAATTTTTAAAAAATTAAAAATAAAATGGGTCTTTTGTACTTAGCATATAGTTATTAGTTTTAATACACACTGTGCATCTCTGCTTTTTAAATGAATAGCTTAGTTTGTCTAAATTTAAATTAATTACTGTCAGAAGGTATACTCAATACACCCTTTTGGTTGCTGTGTAAAACACCATGACCAAAATCAACTTGGAGAGAAGGGGGTTTACTTCATCTTATACTTTACAGTCCATCATGGAGGGAATCTCTCTGCAGGAACTGAAGCAGACGTCACAGAGGAACACTGCTGCCTGGCCACCTGTCCAGAGGTGGTGCCTCCTACACGGGGCTGGACCCTCTCACATCAATCACTAACCAAGACAGTGAACCCACAGATACACCCACAGGGCCAATCTGATGCAGACAATCTCTTAAGTGAGTTTCCTTCTTCTAAGAAGTTTCTAGTCTGTATCAAGCAGATAAAAAAATTGGTGAGCCAGCACAGAGGGCTCTCCCATTCATTGTCTAGTTTTTTGTACTTGTGTTTCTTTGCTGCTCCAATATCACCTTAGATTTTATTTCTAATTCAGCTTACTTAATCATTCTCAGTTGTTTTGTTCATTGATTCATGCTCTAGACTTCTAGAAGCTGTAATTACTCCTCAAAGTTACAACAATGTAGCTTGAATTGGAAGGAAGATTTAATTTCATCTGAAAGATTGCTTGCTTTAAACAGCCTGGCCCATCACTTTATGTGGTTTCTATCCCAAATCATATCTTTATACATTAATTTTTGTTTATGCATTGACATCAACCAGCATGCTGCTATACTTATTTAAATGTTAAAAGGCATAGAAAAAGAAAAACTCGATGTCAAAATCTACAAAATTATAATATTAGCTTCTATAATTACCTTGGTAGTTACCCTGAGTGATGTTTTTTATTGTTTCAAATGCCTTTTATTTCCATCTGAAGGAATCTCTCTGAAGCATTTTCTGGAGTATTTATCTGGAAGCCTAGTTCTCCTCTGCTGCTTTATATTAAGAGATGCCTTAGTTAGCAGTATCTTTTTCTGCCAGCAATTTGAGTATTTCACTTTAGTTGCTGATGAGAGTGTGACTATGAGGGTGACTAAGAATTTACGTAGACTGTGGGAGTCTGGGATGGGCAGTTTCTGGTGATCTATGTTGGGAAGCCACTTTCTGTAGTTTTGTGTGTTTCCCCCTTTTATTGAAAATAGATTTTTTTATATAATATACCCTTATTACAGTTTCCCCTCCTTCCAATTCCTCCCCACATCCCCTCCAATCAGGATCCTCTCCCTTTCTGGTTTTCATTAGAAAAGAACAGGCTTCTAAGAGATAAAAACCAAACATGACAAAATAAAATACGATATGATAAAACAAAAACCATTACATCAAAGTTGGACAAGACAAACCAACAGAAGGAAAATGGGCTAGGAGAAGGCATTAGAATCAGAAGCCCGCTCTTTCTCACACTCAGGAATCTCCGGAAAACTCTAGACACAGATGAGCTGGATGCAGGTACTGTCTTGCTGCTGCTACTCCTGCGCATACACCCAAGGCTTTAATCCTACCCCACGGACACTGGCTCAGCTCAGCCCGCTCATCGCTGCTCTAGTCATAGTAGCCAGAAATTGGAAACCACCTAGATGTCCCTCGACCAAAGAACAGGTCAGATGAAGAAAATCTGGCACATTTACACAATGGAGTAATTTATGTTACTTCACTGTTTTAAAAAGTGACATCCTGAAATTTGCAGGCAAATACGTGGAACTAGAAAAAAAATCATCCTGATTGAGGTAACCCAGGCCCAGAAAGATAAATATGGAATGTAGTCACTTATAAATGGATGTTAGATGCTAAATAAATGGTAACCAAGCTATGAAGTATAGACTCAGTGAGGTAAGCTATAGAGAAAGGGACTGGGGTAAAGGGGTGCAGCCATGCACCCCTTGAAGGAGGAAATAAAATAGACTTAATAGGTGGGCTGGGGACAGAGGAGACTGGAACGAACGAGAGGATCAGGTCAGGGTGGGGTGTAGATGGGGTTGAGGTAGGAAATGAGAACTAACTAGAATCGAGGGGCATTTGAGGGGTGGCATGGAAACCTTGTGAGTGGGAAATTCCTGAAGTATATGAAAGTGACCCTAATAAAGTCTATCTTAAAGTCTGGTTGTAATATCGTGGATTTTTTTACTTATTGGCATGTAGTCATTACACACAGTGATGATAAAGACATTTTCACTCAAATATGTCATACTAGACCATGGTGACTCAGTTTCCTGCCCCACCCCTGTAGCTCTCCTACTTTGCCCAAAGAGTAGTACTTTTATTGTCATGTCAGAAAATAAGATAGACAGACAAACATGAAGGAAATCTGGAAATATGGGATCTACATACAAGAGGAAACAATCAATGTTTGTCTTTTAGAGTCTGGCTTATTTCACTTAAATGGACAGTTTCCAGCTGCATCCATTTACCTGTAAACAACAGAATTTCTTTCCTCTTGATGTCTGAGTGAAACTCATTGTCCTGCACTCTTTATGGATATGCTTTTGACTTTTACCAAGATACAGCGATTTGCACTGCACCAAGTTTGGGGGAGTCTGGGGTGCCATCCCTTAAGCTTTTGCTGTGCCCCTTCCTCCTCCTTCCTAAGATCACGACAGAACCCACAGATCTCTGTGTTGTTTTGTTCCCTTCCCTTTCTGCTTCAAGGACTTGATTATGTAATGGAGCTCCTGCTGGGCACCTTCCGTTCCCCAGCTCAGGTCTGCTGCTGAGCCTTGACTGACCTTTCCACCTCAGCTGAGGTACTGTTTGAGAATCTCAGGCTCGTTCTTCCACGTCCTGCATGTCCATTAATGCTCTGACCACTGCTGCACGTCCATTAATGCTCTGACCACCGCTTCCGTGGCTGCCTTCTGTTCTCTGTCAATGGTCTTCAGCTGGCTCTTGGAGTATGTTTACGATGGTTAATTATGTAACCAGTGTCTGTGCCACCTTAGCTGAAAAATAAAGTTCCATGTTCAGGAGGAAACGTTGCTTCAAGGTGATAAGGGAAAGAATGATAGACGAGGATGCCCAACACCCTTCTCTGGCCTCCAAAGGCATGCACACACGGGCACATGCTCCAGCACACACATGTGAGTACATACCATAAACAACAAATTATCCTCAAGTCTCTTCACCCCTCTCTCTCCATCCTTCTCTCTCTCCTTCCTTCTCTCTGCCCCCTACTTCTGTCTGTCTCTCTCCAAACACACACACACACACACACACACACACACACACACACGTAGGCACGCACGCACGCACGCACACACTGGCATGAGATTATATGACCCTACTGCACCAGTGCTCTCACTCCAAATCCTCACAACAGCTCTAGATGATAAATAAATCTGCAACCTTCCTGCCCACATCTCCTAACTCACAGCTCAGTATCTCACAGTGTGGCCCCTGCCTTGGGGCTTTGGCACTCGTACGCCACAGTGTGCACACATCCCCCTTGCTTCCTCATCTGCTCAGCACACCACTGTATCAGGAACATGTTCCCTACCATCCTGTGGAAACAGTCCCATTCACCTACCCCAGCTGCTAGGGCAGTCTCTATTTTCTCCCTCTGCTGCATTTTCCCATGCGACGTGCCTACTGTGGTTTCTCTGTTGTCCCTTTGTTCAACCTGACCTACGGAACATTCACTCTGTGGTCATGAAACAATTGCTTTTCCCACATGTGTACCATGAGCACCTTAAACAAGACCTCGCACGACAGAAGCCGGTTAGCGTTTCCTGAACTCACAATATTAAGACGTGTGGTTTTGTGCACAACAAGATGAGACTGGTCAACACAGCCAGAGAGTGGGTAGAAACACGCAAGCGAGGGTTACATTCAGAGACTTGAGTGCTGTGCAACATGAAAACACAGACAGACATGTGGCCTAAAGAGCCTCAGGAATCACCAACCACAGCATCAGGGAAGCAGGTCCACTGTTCATCAAACCATTATTGTTCCATATGAGGCATCACTAAACCCAGAGTCAAGCCTTCTGTTAACAATGGAAGAACCCTATTCAGTGTCTGAAGGCTTAATCAACACTTCCTCCTTGTTTGAACTAACACAGTATGCTGCCTGTTGTTGGCTGCCTCCCCCACTGCCCACTGGAAGGTCGCTAAGTCCTGGACTCTCAAACAAAGGTGTTGGAAAGGGTCTACCCTGTGCCAGGCACAGCCTCCACCAGTGTGTAGTGTGAATCCAGAAACACAACGTAAAATGAGATAACATGCATGGTACGATGGTTAAACCAAGAATTCATCAATAGTCCTGCTTCCCCCAGGGACTCTCTGACTTCCCTGTGGGCTGATCGTTGCTCATTGGAATTAAGTTTAATGAGCAGATGTGAGTTGTGTTGTGAGTTTATAATAGTCTGACCTTTGATACTACATTTTTCATCATTGGCTTCCTTGCGGTTGACATATCTGCACTGGATGGGAAAGACGCTTTTCTGTTTTGTTTACAACAGATGCTAGAGAAATTCAGCCAAGAAACAGAAAGTAATGATCATCTATCTCCATAGACTCCTGCTGGTTTTTTCAAGTAGGTCTGAAAAATAACTAAAGACAGCTACGCAGAGGAATGTAAAGAGGTCATTCTGTCTTAAAGATACACAATCCTCTATCGGCATTTGTAAGCACTTTGATTTCAAACTACTGTTTGTTTATTTACTTAAGAGCTATTTTGATAAATATTATAAGCTAGTATTATAAAAACAAATAGCATGGGGTCTCTAGCTTTAAGAGCCTTGTAGACAATCTTAAAATAGGAGTAACTGATATTTTAAATAACCATTCTGGCAAACGGGGGTGTTTCCTAGTAAGTATACAGCATCTTTCAGTGAGTGACAAAAATGTTCAAAACTGAGCTAAGGAATAGCTGCACAACTCTGTGGACACACTGAAGCCCATGGAACCATCTAGCTCCCATGAATAAACTCTATGGTATATGAATGGCACTTCTCCAAAATCATTTAAAGTGGCGGTGCCAGGGCACAGCCTCTGGTAAGAACCCTGAAGATGCAGCAGAAAGCACTCGGCAGAAGGCAGGTGGGGGCAGGGTGATGAAGGCACCACACAGAGGTGAGATACAAGTTGCAAACCACAGTTCCCGATGCATGTGTCTAATGACATCTCAGACTCAAAGTCCCCAGGCCCAGGCACGAGCCTCTCCCTAACACAGGCTTCCCAAGCAGCTAAGGAAGACTCCCTCATTTCAGATGCTCAGTGGCATTAGCACCACTGCCTAATTCTGACCTTCTTCTGGGGGCCTTCAGCCTGCTATCAGAAGCCTTTGGCTCCCCAGCATGCATGCTGTGTCCACCCTCAGCCGACACTTGTACTCCTGCCACATCCTTCTCATAGGACTCACAACACCCGACGTGTACTCACACCGCAGAAGTACAAATGATAGCTTCCAAATGGCTCAGCATCCCTATTGCTGCTCTCGAGGGTCTAAAGCGTAAACACTGCGCAGATGAGTACTAAGGCTGGTCCCAGCTCCAAGCACTGCCCCTGTCCTTCCCATCCTACCCTCTACAGTGGGCAGAAATGGGAGAGGGCACAAACATCCTCTCTTCCTAAGAAGTCCCCTGACACCAGACAACTCTGGGGCCTAGTTACCCTACAGAGTCCTCCAAGACTGAAATAAACACTGTTATGAGTGTGTTAGTTTGCATTTCTGTTACAGAACAGCATGACTAAAAAAATGCTTTATTTCATCTTACAGGTTGTAGCCCATCGTCCAGAGACTTCAGAGCAGGAATCTGGAGGCAGGCACTGATCCAGAGGCCACAAAGGAGTGTTACTTACTGGCTTGCTCAGCCTGACTTACTCAGCCTACTTTCTTACAGTACCCAGGACCATCTGCCCAGGAATGTCACTACCCTCAGAGCTGAGCCCTCTTCCTTAACCACTCTGCATCTCAAGCTAAGACTGAGCTTCCTCGCACAGGCCCATCTCAGCAGCATTCCTGGTCCCCTTTTAACTCTTTTTTTCTTTTGTTTTTCATTAATTTATTTAATTTAGAACAATCTTATTTCACATATCAATCCCAGTACCCTCTTCCTCCCATGCCCCTCAATGATCCCTCTATCCATCCCACCCCCCACCCACTCCCAAGGGAGGGTGAGGCCTTCCATGGGGGATCATGTCACATCATTTGGGGAGGGCCTAGGCCCTCCTATGTGTATCTGGGCTGAAAGAATATTCCTCCATTGTTGGGGAAGTCCTGTTATTTGCCAATAAAGTACTGTTGAGCCAATAGGAATCTAGATGGGAGGGACTAGGAGTCCAGGAGGATTCTGGGAAGGAGAAACACAAGAGAGTCAAGATGTAACGCCATTGAGATAGGAAGCCCGGAAACCTCTCCGGTAAGAAACATACTTAGATTAACAATTATGGGGTAATTGCTTAAAGCAGAGCTAGCCAGGAAGAAACAAGCAAGGCCAACAGCTTCATAATTAATATAGCCTCCTGTGTGTTTATTTGGGAACTACAATGCGGCAGAGCCCAGGCGACTGGCGGGTGATAAACCAAAGCGGCTAGCAAAAGGAAAAGCTTCTCTTAACACTCCATAAGTAATGGGCTCCCCAAATCTATTTGTACACTAGGGATAAATACTGGTTCCACTGTCAGAGGCCCCATAGACTGCCCAGGCCTCCTAGCTGGCACCTACATTCAGAGGGCTGGGTTTGGTTCAATGCTGGTTCCCCAGCTTTATGACTAGGGTCTGTGTGCTCTCACTTGGCTAGGTCACCTGTTTCTGTGGGTTTCCCCAGCACAGTCTTGACCCCTTTGCTCATCACTTCTTCCTCCCTATAACTGGATTCCAGGCATGCAGCTCAGTGCTTAGCTGTGGTGTCTGCTTCTACTTCCATCAGCTACTGGATGAAGGCTCCAAGATGGCATTTAAGGTAGTCATCAATAGGGAAGGGCATTTAAGGTAGCCTCTCCACTATTGCTTAGATTCTTAATTGGGGGTCATCCTTGTGGATCTCTAGATGTTTCCCTAGTGCCAGATTTCTCTTTAAACCTGTAATGGGTCCCTCTATTAAGGTATCTCTCTTCTTGCTCTCCTCTGTTCTTCCCTGACTCAGTCTTCCTGAACCCTCATGTTCTCCTCCCCCTCCTCTTCTCCCTTTCTCTGTTTCCTACCTCCCTCCCTCCTCAAACCCCAGGCTCCTAATTTACTCAGGAGATCTTGTCCCTTTCCCTTTCTCCAGGGGACCCTGTATGTCTCTCTTAGGGTCCTCCTTGTTTCCTAGCTTCTCTGGAGGTGTGGATGTAGGCTGATAATCCTTTGCTCTATGTATAATATCCATATATGAGGAACTCTCAACCCTTTTAACAAGGCTGGTAATCCTGAGAGTCTCATGTCCTGGCCTAGCCTGAATGAGTAGTCCCAACCCAGGTCTCCTATGACTATACTGCTATTCCTGTCTGGAATATGTTTTCAAGACCAGCTAGCAGGACTAGTCAGAAACACCACTGACTTGTTCTCTGTGTGATAATCTTGTCTACCTGTTGGGCTAAGGGAAAATGCAAGGAGGTGATAGAGGGAAAACTACAAAAGTGTATGCAAGTACTGACAGTGACAGCATCATGGCTCATACCAACCACTGTAGGAATCCCTGAGCGATGCTGTTGACATGTCATGGGCCCTGCTCTCAGATCAATGGGAAAATGGCTAGGACTCCCCTGCCCAGGGTAAGACACAGGGTGGCGTCAAAGTCTTCCTCTGATCTGTGCATGATGTTGATGGGTGTGTACAGAAAATGTCCCCCATATCTTTCTCTCCCAGGATATTTACAGCCTGAAGACTGCTCCCCTACAAAGACTGCTCCTAGCAAGGTTAGCTAAACCTCCCTGCTTGCCAGCTATCTGCAACAACCCTGCCTCCTTGTTTATCTGTGTGTAATAACTCCGCACCTCTGTTCAACCATCTCATAAACACACGTAGCTTCTGGAGTGTTGTGGTTTCTCCACCAGAGAACCTGGTCCATCTGATCCCAGCTTTTCTGTATGTCTCTGTGTTTATCTTTTCCTCATTCCCTCACCACCCAGTCAGGTCTGTCCCTGGATCCGGAGTTGGCCTGGCAAACCACAACACAGTAAAGGATCTGGAAACCAGAGACACAGAGCCACATTCCTAGGAACCTTCATCAATAACCTTCCTCATAATCGCAAAGTCTTGCTGCATTAATCATCACCACTCTCTTAGTGAGACAGACCAAACCCAGGTTTTCAAACTCGGCTGGTTGAGCATGAAGTTAGACTGAGACCCAGAATCCTGATACACCATATGGTATTCCTGCTGTGAATGGAGTGGCCAAGCGTCCTAGATCATTTCTGAGGACTCCATCAGGTAGAAGAGAAATGCCATGGCCGGTGTTTTGCAGTTGAGGTGACTGTAGTAGGTTGTGGTGGAGTGTCTCATAGAAAAGCAGCATTATCTGCATCTTCGACACCCAAATCAAAGGAGGCTCCTCTCTACACGTGCCCTGCCTTTGTCCCCTGCTCTCAATCTCCTTGGAAAGATCTCAGCAGACAAGACAGCTTATTCTGTCTACCTCAGCTTGTGCTTCTGGCGCTACTGGAGTTGGGGTGGGCACCCCACTTTCACGGGTGACTCACTCTACTGATTCATCATGTGAAATGCATCTCTGGGACTCCAGGCAATTGAGCAAAGCAGGGACACTACAGAAAGGTGAGACTGAAGAATTACACATTGTAATGGTGCTGATAACATCTGAAGAAGGTACCTTGGACCAAGGAAAGATGTGAATCTTGGAGTGGGGGCCAGGGAGTTGTGATGTACAACAAGGCAGAGCTTGATGGATGGATTCAGCAGCTGTAGAATCTTTCCTCCTCCTGATGAGTTAGTTCACCCATACTCAGCAGAACCAAGATTGGTCCCAAAGGGACCAATTCCCAGATCCTTGTGCAGTGACAGAGGAGGAGGGTAGCCTTCCACACAGCATCCCCAGATGGGCCCTAAGAAAGAAGGTGGAAAGTCATACCCCATCAGAAATCAGGACAGAACTCAGCATCCCCACTACCAGAGAGACAACTGAGAAACTGCACCTGCCACAAGCAGCAATGACCAAGCCCATGATCTGGGAAGACCACAAGATATTCTGCAAAAAATTCAGTCTGGTCCCTGCCACACAACCTATACAGATTTTCACAAGGTTGCCAACATCCCATGGAGGAATCAGTCCCTTACCTACCTTAGGAATGGAAACACAATGGGTGGAGGTAAGTAGGTGGCGATAAATACCAAGACTGAAAGGTGAGAAGCCTGCTTCAAAAGCTAGGATTCCACAAAAGAGGAACTGGAGCCCTCCATTGACTCTGTAGAGATTTATTTGTTTACTTGTGGACAATGAATCATAAAGACTTGAATTTAAAATAATTACTTAGTATGCACGTACTTTATTATATTAAAAATTAAAACAAATTTGCATACAAATGAGTTTGATATTTGTTTACCGAAGGGCATAGAGTATCTTCAATGAATTTTATTTTTTATGTGTATGAGGATTTTTGCCTGCACATATGTCGATCATGGATAGTGCCCTCAGAGTCCAGAAGAGGACATCAGATACCCTGAAGAGAGCAACAGTTACAGATGGTTGTGAGCCACCATGTGAGTGCTGGGAACCAAGTCCGGATTCTCTGCCTCTGCAAAAACATAATGTGCTCTTAATTTTTGAGCAATCTCTCCAGTTCCACAGCCCCCCATGGCTATTAAGAAAAATAATCACCTAATATAGCTCATGCTGGCTAGATTTGACTTAGTTTTCTGAAAAACAGCAAGATTGCTAAGGAAAATGAATATTTGAGCCACCTCTTAAAACGGAGAGCTAATTTTTTTTGGTTGTTGTTAACTAAGACTAAACAAGAACAGATTTCATATTTGGCTCTGTCTAACATCCTGAATAATTTCCATTATTCAAGAAGCTAATAAAAACATTTTTGAAGATTTTTCTTACTGAGTTATGATTCTTCTCAGACACCACTGGACTTCCTGGTTCTTGAGAGTTTAATGTAGTTCATTTATGATATATGAGTTTTCAACAAGTATTCTGAAAAGAGAGAGCACTTCTTAGAGAAGAAAGGATTGGGAAGCTATTAGACTTTGGAAAGAGAGGCTACAATCTTTGGCAAGAGGGAAATGGTCAGTGTCGTTCAGTATTTGTTTGCTGTTGTGAAGAAGTTGTTTCAGAGGATGATGTGAGTCTTGGAAAGATCACTCCCCTCTTTTAGGGACTCCTATGAGATCTCTGCTCTTCAGCTAAGAGCATGAGCCCTGATGTAGCGAGCCTGTCAGGGGCATATGGCCACAGTGAGTGTGCTCAGCCCATCAGAGGCCTGGCCAACTGAGTCCACAGAACCAGCCAAGCACCCACTGTGAGGATCCCCAAGGGTGGGGGTAGCCAAGGTTGCTTCTAAATGAGATTCCACAAATCTGCCAAAGCATCAGGCTGGAGTGGCTGACATTCGTTTAGATGCAGCTCTCCTTTCCAGAGAAGGAAACTGAGGTTTAAAGCAGCAGATTACCCCAGCAGGTCCCAAAGGCTGGGGGTGGGGTGAATCTCTGCTGAGCATATGGCATTTAAACCATGGCTCCTGTGAGTCGGGGCTCTGCCTGGTCCTTGCCATTTTAGCCTCCCACACCTGGCTTCACTGTGCCCAGGAGTATGACAGAAAGCCACAGGCATGCAAAAGCTCCACAACCATGTCCTCTTTTCTGTTGTTTTGTTTTTTAAGAGATAACATGAAATTGCTTTGGGCTGCTCTTATCTAGACTGCTAGTGTCTCATTTGGGTTTGTTTGCAAATATCTTCTGATCCACTGGTGGACAGCTCAGCAAAATCCAATTCCTATCATGGCTATGAGGTCTGAAGGACTCAGGTAGGATTGACTGCACGTCCTTCACCCATGGACCTTCTAATTCAAGATCTTTTAACTAGTCAATAAGTACCAATGTAGGCCACACAAACATCTTGGGAAATAGTAGCAGAGATAGGGACAGACACCCAGGAAGAGACTACATCTGGGAAGTTTGGAACCAACATCTTCCTCATCAGCCACCTGTCATACAAATCACTATTAGTGATTTTCAATAAAATAATTTCACAAAATCATATACTGATACAGTGATTATGTGATTAGCAAGGAGATACTAAGTTTTTTTTAACTGCTAATGGCCCACCATGACATTTCAACCAACATACCTTCATTTTCCAGAAAATTCTGTTTGATGAAACCACAATCAAAGGGTCATAGATCATAGTCAGGGTGATACACTTTAAAACTATAAACTCTTTCATAGAAAAATGAACCCCGGGGTTTCCTGTGGGTTCTCTCATGATCCACTACAATAAATCACCCCCTATCTACAGTTTGGGTTTTATTTGCAGTCAATCATGCTGTAAGAACATGACACAGGACATTCCAGAAATAATCAGTTTGTAACTTTGAACTATGTAGTGTTCTGAGTAGCATTTATGTCATCTCAGACCTTCCCACTTCGAACCACCCATGATGGCAATCATCCCACTGTTAAACACATCCATGCTGTTTACACTGCAGCCTGTTAGACACACTTAGCCACAATGTTAGTTATCAGACTGGTGGTTGAGGTGTCACACAGCTTGTGTTCAAAGGACCCTTATTTAGTTCATTTAGTAACCATATAGAGTGGGAGATCATCAGTGCTAGCCATCTAGACAGAGAAGCCCAAGAATGGAAACAGAATATATTAGGATTCTTTAAAGAGACAGAACATATAAAATGAGTGTGTGTGTGTGTGTATGGATGTATGTACACATATACATAAACATATACATATAAATGTAAAGGGGATTTATTAGAATGGTTTGCAGGTTGTGGTCCAGCTAATCCAACAATGGCTGTCTACCAATGGATTTCAAGGATCCAGTAATTTTTCAGGTCATGAGGCTGAATGTCTCAGCTGATCTTCAGTATACACCGGAATCCCAAAGAAGAAGGCTCTAACACCAGGGAAGGAATGCACTTACTACCAAGGACAAAAGCAAGAAGGCAAAGGGCAATATTCCCTCTCCCATGTCCTTTATGTAAGCTTCCAACTGAAGGTGTGCCCTAGATTAAAGGTGGATCTTCTCACCTCAGAAGACCTGGACTAAAATTAGGTCTTCACACTTCAAATGACTTAAGAAAAAAAAACCCTCACAGGTGTACCCAGCCACTTGGATTTTAGTTAATTCCAGATGGTTAATTCCAGATGTAATCAAGTTAACAACAAAGAATAACATCACATGTCATGACATATTTTGACAGAAAGAGACCAAATTCACATAATTTCATCATAGCTTGTTGTCACTGATATTTTTTTGTGAATTTTTACTCTACCTGATTTATGAATTAAACTTTATGTAGGTATGTGTGTGGGGGGTGTCATCCTGATTTTTAGTCATCCATTGAGACTCTGGAACATACTTCCTGTGGACCAGACAGGAGAGGGATACAGCTACACATAAATCCATTGCATGACTTTGTGAGTTCCATCCCTCTATTGTGTGTGTGCCCTTGCTTCTTGCAGTATTAACTGTAGAGCCTAACCACCACCATTAGTGGAACCTAGCCTAGAGATGCTAACTAACTGATTCTAGAAGGCACCTCGGGTCCAGCAGCCCTCCGAGGCCTACCCCTCTTCCCTGGATAAACTCCCTCTCAAGCACATGGGTCTCATTTCTGTAGAATCACGAAGTTCGCCACCTGCCTCAGGGTCTTTGCATCTGCCCCCTTCTCTTCCATCGTCTCCCGCTTTGCCTTTTTTTTTTTGTGGTTAACGCTACATTATTCAAGTCTTAACTCTATCTGCTTCCCTGATGTTTTCTGCATTTACCTATTTACTTCTCCCACAGCAGAGGCCATGGCCCAGAATCATCAGCTTGTTTCCATTTCATTCAAATACCTTTGCAACTACATCAAGACTTTGAGAGGCAAGGCATAGTTAGGGCAGTTCTTTGGGATGGTGAAATGCTCCAGAATTAACCAACAATGGCTTCTCTAACATCCACCCAGCTATACTTTCCATGGTGGCCCAAATGATTACTTTGATTCTGTGTGAATTTTAACTCAATTACAAATACTTCTCCCAATTCCCCTACCCAAGTATGTTTCAAATTCTTTTGGACAAACCTTTTAGAGTTTTTTGTTATTTGCTGCTTTGTTTTGTTTTGTTTGCCTTTATTAAATTCAATACTGAATTTATTCCTCAAGAAAAATCTTTAATGTTATTGTATTGCTACCTTATGAATTAGACTGCAAGACTCCCTGAGAGAAAAAAAATAGACAGCTTATCCTAAAAGCTTCTGTTGCCTGGTTTTCTTATTCACAAACAAAAACACCACAGTTAAAATTAGGATGGAGTGTTAATAAAATACTTGTTTGCACAAAATTTTATACACTGGATTAACAGATAAAGCTCTGCTTGAAAAAGAATATTTCTCTACTGAGAATGTTTAAAAGGCTTCAGAGAGATTACCTTTGAAGTCATCCTGTCTGCAAACCTGGCACATACCCGTCCAATCTGGTCCTCCCACATGGCAGCCCCTGGGGACTCTGGGGAGAAGCACAGAGTTGGATGGCATAGTATCAGGCACCTGGTTTTGTTCACACCTGAGGAGTGATTTGCGTCGACTCAACCACTGAGTCAGAGTTCATACCTTTAGCTGGCTAAGATAGCATAGGCAGGCTATAGCTTACAATATAGCCGCAGTAGATGCAATAGAAACGCTAGTGCACTGCCAGGCTGGCCGAGGTGCGTGCTGCAGACCACGCATGTTTGCCGGAGGCGGGTGAAATTATGGGGGAGTGTGTTCAGACATGGGTGTAGATAGGAAGAGATGCCTACCAGTGGGAAGACCCAAGCACAGGAAAAGGCTCACACACACACACACACACACACACACACACACACACACACACACACACCATGAAGGGGACAAAAAGCAACCACCAGGGTTACCTGCAGACTTCCTCAGTGTTAGGCCAGAAAGGGACTTTAGAGACCACATCACCAACCTCCGGCTTACAAATGGACAGAGTAGGCTCAGGAAAGGGAAGTGTTCACTCTGAGTATCACAGTCCCCTCAGTGTAGGGTCATGTGTGAAAATGCAGACTCTCTCAGCTTCCAGGATGGGACGAACAAAGGGCCACAGGAGCCAGGGACTCTGAAACACACAGGGGAGGGCCCCTGACCCAGGACACCTTTCGGCAGGAGGGGGGGGGGGAGCTGCTAGTCCACTTCAGGGACCCAGCAGGGAGGCATGCATCTGTGTGACCTGTTTATTCACTCACTTCCCGTGTGGCTTGTCACAGTGCAGGCACTTGCACTGAAATGCAATTTCCCAGAAGTATTGCCCCCTTCTGGGGCCCCATTCCTGTTGCCAAGACTAAAATCATCACAAAAGTCCTCACCTGAACTGTTGGAAGAGTGTTGAGGGCAAATCAGGGGCACCACAGAACTGCTCACTTACTGCCTTGCAGACAACAGCAGGAAGAGGACTTGGATGCTCTGGGTCTTAAGGAACTTTGATGCCAGGCTGGGGATGGGCTAGTCTCCGACCCCACTGAGCCTGAGATTGCTCTGAACTTCCCCACAAGGGAGTGGCTTCAGGAGGCTGACCACGCCCACATGTGCTCTCCCCCTTGCACTCCTGTTGACCTGCTCACATTCCCAGTCAAAGCCTCCCCATTTGGGTGAGTATCATTTTACCTTCCAGATGTTTATGTGGGTGGCCACTGCTATTGCCAAGACAACCACACTGTCACAGGCCATTCAGACATAGACGAGGCAGACGTGTTCTGCTGCATGGTGAATCAACATTCCCTGTCTCTGAAACGAAGTGAGGAAACAATATCAGAAACTGCTGAAGAGCAGGAGGACTGAGGAGAGATGCCTGAGAGGTGACTCATGCTGCCTCTGTTCACTGTGGCACAGACCTACATTAACCCCGTGAAGCCAAGCCAGGACTAAGCACTTCAGCTGCAGGTCCTGATAGGGATTTGGGAGCCAGAAGGCAGCATTACCAAGAAGCGAGAGTTGCAAACTAACAGCGACTCCAAAGACACTCCAGTTCTTGTCTACAGTGATCCCAGCAGGCCCGATTAAGGTGGGCCCTGCAATGTCTGATGAAATCATTCTTG